GACATACACAGTTCTTGAGCAGGAGAAACTATTGCTTTGATTTAATTTGGTTTAAGCCTAGCTGACACCCATAGGAGCATGAAAGACAGAAGTGACTCTAGCATCGAATGAAAGACGTCCGGTTAAGCTGATAAGACTACGGCCATATTTCGAGATTCAGGAGATTAAGATATTAAGTGACTGGATATTAGGAGGGAGGGTTATTCTGATGAATAGACTGAAAACGTATTGACTTGGAGATTAGGATTTGAATATACATCAATCAATACCTATTTAATCTTCGCAGCGAAATATCTTAATCCCATAGAAGCGCAAGATGTTCTACTGCTCTTCACCAATTCCAATCTCCTTATCTTTGGAGTAGTGGAATGAACGCAGCCTAACACATCACCTTTCTTCAAACTACATGACCGAAAAGGCAGGGCTTAAGTGTCGTGCATTAGCTTATTGAAACAAAACTGACTGAGAGTGAGACCAAGTGCCAGCAAATGGGCTATTAGCTTGTCTTTCTCATCCGTAGACACAGCTAGTCGAGCTGCCGTGCGGCCATTAGGTCCTCTATCCCACTGCGCACCTAAAATTATGAGGATACGTTCAGGGAAGCAGTAATGAAAATCAATAAAGCTAAAACAGAGAAAGGGAATTTTGTGAACACTTACTTATAAAATCTGCCATGATTTTCTGAACAAACTCTGAAGGGAAAGGAGTTTTGTCAAACTCAGTTTTCAGAACAGATCTCTGTGCGAATAACTGAAAAGAACATAAAAGATAGAATGACAAGGAAAGAGCTTCAAAAAGAACTCACGGCAGCCATGTAGGTCATGCAACCCAATAACGTAAATGCAACAGCCCTTGGAGCGTCACTAGTCACTGAGCTGGGTAGCATCTTCACAACCACCTTCGGGACAGCCTTAATCAAGAGAATATTTGCACCTCCTCGGAATCCCCATTTTGGGATGGCGAGAAGTTACTCGAATTACTCCGATTCAAAAATATCAAAGTTAGTTCGAAACTTGATGAGGTAGCACTTCCAAGAAACAACAAATTGACACCTTTTTCAAGAAGTTCTTTTTTTGACGAAGAGAGGAACTCGACTGCAGAGGCACTCAACAGCTCCTGCTCTTCCGCAGTTATAAACGTTGAAATGGGATAAATGTTACGTGGCAGCTCTGCAGGCTGAGCGTGAGGAAGAATAGCCGACTCTGCCTGGAACAGCCATAGAAAAAACGGATTTCGAACAAAGGATACAAGTACTTTCATGAAAGAGACACCTTACCTTGGCCACCAAGCTAATCTGTTCCTGCTTGATGTCTTCAGTATCCGCAAGAACACTTGTTGACGCAAAAGCTGTCTTACGCATAGCATCCAGGGTCTCCTAAGATAGCAAATCAAATAAATCGATGTCTAAATGACACCATAACAAAGATCGTACTGTGTTAATCTGTCTTCGGATGGACGCCTCCTGAATCTTCATCTTCTTCGAAGAACCGAAATCAGCAGTCAAATCCATGCGTTTCTTTGCCCATTCCTCAGTCTTGATATCGTAGGACGCGCTATAGTCCACGGGAGCACTTCTCCTGAAATCCGATTGTAAATTGTACATTTAGCACTATTTGAAATATTTCGCTAAAATATGCTCTTCTGAGAAAGAAGCAAAACGCTCTCTACTCTCTCTCTCTCTCTCGCCACTCTTGTAGATGCATAACACGGGAGCACAGCTGGGGCCGTATCCTATCCTTCCGACACGCCCCTGCTACTGATTCTATCCTGGAGCTCAGGGGAGACATGGTTGTGTTATAGGACCAGCCATACTTTGCGTTTCTAGACTGCAAATAGCGCGACCCCTTGAAGAAAATAGCGGTCCAAACGCCACACCGCTTCGCCCAAGCTTAGGATGGAATCACGCGAATGATAGGATACGGCCTTGTATTTACCATTACCAGAGCAGGGGGCTACTCTTCTTCGCTACGACATCGAAGATTCAGCCACGAACTTTGCAATTAATACTGTTGGTTTTATCACCATCACTTCACTATTTGTTCACTGTGTGGCAAAATAGATAGGAAAGAAATGCAGTTTAAAAACCGGACTGGTGAACCAACGAACTTCTCTCCAATTAGTTGCGGAATGTCTGAGGAGTAGGTCGCCTGGAAGTTGTACAAACGAACTGGACGGTATGTTGTTGTTCCAGTCTCGCGATCAACGATAGCGACAGCATAGTCGTAGCCTTCGTCAATGCTAGACACTTCCTTACCGATTTCAACCACATTTTCACAAATCTGAAAGTTTTTTCATACAACACCAAAAAGTGTGACTATGACTGCAGATAGCAAAGCTGAAGTACCATGTTTCCAGCAGACCGTGGAAGCAACGGAGTGATCATTTTGTACTCCTACTGACTAGTATAGGGCGCCATTCGTTGCGGGACCCACTGCCTTAACCCGCGGGGATCCCATGTGATCGCGGTTGAATTCGAACATTCCAGCTTCTCACGCATGTCAAGTGTCTGCCCTCACCCCCCACCCCCCTAGACTGGCGACACTGCCCCTGGCTCACGGATTCCCCGCTCCACATTGAAGGGTTCACTGTAGCAGGAGGCAGTGGGACCCGTAACGAATGGCGTCCTTTACTAGTCAGAAGGAGTACAAAACGATGCGTTCCACAGAGACATTATCGTGAAGGGAGGAGAGGGAGGAGGAAGCGAAATTTCGAAGTTAGAAAAAGGATTTCTATAGGTTCTGCAGGGTTATCTGCTTTCGAACCAGCACAGACCCCTGAATTTTCAACCGTTTTTATTAGAACGCGGCAAAGAAGCAATGAGGTTCGAATATCTCTTCATTAGCACACGTAATGGCTAGAAGGTGGACTTATAAAACCTGGATAACAAAACCACTGGACACCCTATCTGCATACCGTCACGGGATATACTAGAAAACCAAGAAAACGCAATTCAATGGGTGCACAAGTGCCGAACGACACTATTAAATCTGCGGTGGATGTTCCCATTCAGAAAAATTACAGAGCCGAAAAGTGAAAAAAAAACTGCACTGAGACAATGGAAAATACTTACATCGGTCTTGATAGTGTAAACAGGCTCTCCACGGCGTCCGTCAAGCGAGCGATGCTCCTGGAAGCTGGCCTTGGTCGCATCAATAAGACGATTATGGCTGAAGGAAGCGACGATGTCGAGATCACTCCTGCCAGCCGCCGATTTGCGTTTTAGTTTCTCGCGTTCATTGCGATGCTTTTCCGCTTCAGTTTTCAACATCTGTGCAGTGATAGCAATCAGCAGCTCGGATGGCAAAATTTTCAAGTGTTCATTTAGTGGGAACAAATGAACGTTCAGAAATTACAAAAGGTAGACGGTAGTAAAGCACTTCACATAACGCAACAACAAGAAAATTAACCATTTATTCAGACAAGAAATGAAAGAATTACAATACATATTCAATTAATCCACAGGGAGCTTCCTCAAACTTGAAACATACGTCTTACACAGGTTGCAGTTGCGGTGATATTCATAAAATACGAAGACAGTTGCGTGCTGTGGGGCTACCTATTTGGTTGTCCGCTCCGGTCCCTAAGCTCAGCACGACGCAGGTAGTTCAGCAGCAGATGTGGTAGCATGTTCAGGACGTAGCACAAAATCGAGTTAGGCTTCGACGCAATGCGCATGTTCTCTCCCAGCGTAGGCGTAGTGATCAGAACTTTTCAAGAACGCTCTGACTACGAGGCCACGCTCATACAGCGTTTCCGTGGAATCGGAAAATCAGCCAATGAAAAACTAATTTGACTCCACCGAGTGGATTCAATTCGACAGAGATTCTCGAAGGAATAGGAGGGGAGGAATACTTACCGGTTTGTTTGAAAATGCCTTTTCCACATATATAGAACTCACGACGCCCGACTTACTATTCGCTACACATCCATTCGTTTTCGCGAACCGTTTCGATTTTTTTCGAGAAAATTTTCGCGAATTTGCCATCGCCAAAACTATTCCTTGCTGTCTGCATACTTTCCTGACGCCGGATGGGGCAAAATTGGAAAGAGCTGCTGCGCCTTTATGCTGGAAAATCTTATAGTTAAATAACGCTAAGTGCCCCAGTTGACATTCAGGAAAAAGTTATGGTGGTTCCTCTAGACACATATGACATCTCTGACGATTGACACAAAAGGGACAGGAAATTCGAAATTATGAACAAAACTGACCCGTACATGGGTCGAAGTGAAGTAGTAGACAGTATGCCGAGATTTTGGTTTGGTACCATTTCATCAAGTCAATTCGAAATCACGTCCCCGAACAGAAAATTTTGCAATAAAAATAGCCTGGCAGTTACAAATCGAAGAGTTGTCCCAAAATGACTATACAGGAGGGAGAACTATACATGCTCAGCTATGACGAGTTCGAGTGCCAGAAAATTACCCAGAGAGACTATTGCGACGGTATGTGTAGAATTTGCATTCCTGGAGGCAACTGGCTAATGTCGATATTCGCGGCCGAAGGACCTCCTGAACGAAAACAAATGAACTTCACCGAATATGTCAAGAGTTGATTTGTGAACTACCTATTGGAATCGGTTGTCCGATAGGAGTGGCATGTAAAACTTGTCCATTTTCTAGATGATACACATCATTACCGGAAGCACCATCACCAGCCAACACATACTGCACTTGAGCAGGCGTCCCCAGCACTCCTTCTGATGTCACGGTCATGGAGTTGCCAGCGTCATCCTGAAAATCTCTTTTCTGTGCTAAACGAAGCGAGCGTTCAAGCCAGAAACATGGTGCATACATGTATCTTCTTTGAATCCTCACGAGGTACGATGTCGATCAAGAAGTCGAAGTGTTCGAATCTACTCGCCGCAGCGGCGATATCTGACTGCAACAGTTGCATTCATATTTTTTTCATATATTCATTTTTTATTTATTTATTTCTTCACAAAACAGTACACTAAAGCACATGACCATGCCTAGGCCGACGTCAGAGTCCGCAATTCATCGGACGATGTCGCGGACTATGACATATGCATTATATCCCCAACTAAGTCACAGCGACTACGCGCGACCTGGTCGGGAATTTACAGTATTTTTTGAAAGATCAGAAACTGTGTGATTGAGGCACTACACCTTCTGCAAAGTTTTACGCCGTCCTTCCTCCACTAGTTGCCAAGCACGAAGCGTGATCTCCTGGATGAACATCTCTGACGCGGCAGCCAAAAGCAACGGCGCATCCGAGCTTATCATCTGGAAGAACCTGGCTGCTTTCGGATATCACTACCACATGTATACAAAGTAATAAGCACAAGAAATTGTTTACTTCAAAAAACTATGTCGAGGCGCTCACTGATTCGGGAATGAGAAAAAACAGAAGGAGCCACCAAAAACATGTTGAGGGCGCTGGTTGGCTAGATTAAACTGTCAATTGGTCTTTCTCTCGTGCACTGATCACAGTTACCTGTAGGCTCACGCTTTTACAGGTAACTGTGATCAGTGCACGGGAGAAAGATCAATTGACAGTTGTAGTTTAGATGTCAAAATTCTAAAGAGCTAGTATTCAACAATAAATTCTTCTTCTTATTCTTCAGCGTTTGTCCCGCTTGTTGGCGGGGTCCGCTTTTCTGATGTGCTGTCGCCACTTTTCCCGATTAATGCTTGGTCGGGGTGGATGTTAACCAATTTAGCAATACATCTCGGAAGCATAATGCAAGAAGAAAAAATTGAAAGAGCTTGAAAGTGAACCGTCTATGATACCTGAGATCGAACGTCGTCATCTATTCGCATCACTTTTTTGACTCTCGCCATCGGCAACTCCATGTGCTTACAATGCTCTCGCATCTCGCTCTGTGAAAGATCATTAACGTACTATAAAGGTGAACAATATCAAAATGTCAATATTTATAATACTACTGGATCCAATTGAACAAGATCTGTTCCACCAAGCACAAAAAATAAACTCACACGCGAACAAAAAACAGGACACTCTTTTCGCTTCGCCCAAAGAAGTGATTGATTACACAATGGAGTATTATCCCCGGCAACCTTCCATAAATGGTCTAGATCTCTGAGAAGCTCTTAGGGCAATTCTTAATAACTCGCGGAGTCTATGATGCGAACAAAAATTGCGGAACAAGGGAACAATGTGTGAAATTGGCATGACTTGTATCGGGGTTCGACAGCGTTTGAATGTGACTTTTTCTCATTCACCTCTCAAAATTTGTATTCGAGGTGTCACGTAAACTTAATTTCTAAGCACCAAAGGAAGTGCGAAAGTAGCATAATGGGAATATCGCCTGTTGCTGGTTCAAAAAAGGGAAGCAGCTGTGGAAAAACTCGGGAACTTCGACGAAACAAATGGAGAAGGCAGGGTTAAGCCGGTGTTAGGCTTTGAATCCAGCGATTTGCGAAAAGCGAATTCAACCATCCGGTCAATAGACCTGATGGTTCCGTAACGGGGCTGCAGCTTGATAAGGGACCTACAACTGGACCTACTACGCTTAATATTTGTGAATGCTAATGGAAGAAAATCTAAATACTACCACCGAAGAGTAGTTCACGAACTCGGATTCGACCATTCAACGACTACCCAGGAGTGCCGGTACAGAGCAAAGGGGGCGGGGGAAGATTTCGCCACAAGCGCGCGGTCGCGCTGCGAGTTTGGTGCTGGGGCGCGCTATTGCTCGTCACGCAGGTGTTCATGTGCTGCACTCTCGGGGGGGCGGTCATGTGGCGCAGCCACATTGCCATTGGGGCGCATGGGCTATAGCTGCCACCCAGGTGCGCCCATATCTCGGCTAGATAAATCGTCCAGGTCCCAGAATTACCAGATTATCGTGGTTGATCGGCCTGCAATGAAGCGCGCCATAGTAGACCGCACTGCAGATGCGTCTGTCATTCTCGACTCTTCCGGCTTCTTTCCTGCGCTGATTTAACTCTGTACTTTTCAACTATTGGAATGACTGTAAAGTTTCGTCGAAGTGATTGTGTCACTATCATTCCGGAGTTGTGATGCGTTCCACTTCACAGCAACTTGTAGTAGTGCAGTACCAATTCAATTTTAATTCCAAACTATCCAGTACGCGGTGAATATCATTCAGTCTTATTCGATCAGAAATTATTGTATTCAAAAAATCTTTTGTCAATAATTAAGCTGAAAATTGTCTTGATCATTGAAACCTCGGCTCAATTTTCGCAGGGGATGCTCGCGGCGTTACGATGACAACGGTACCAGGAAGTCGTTCCGGACGTGGAGCGCTTTTTCAGAGCGGTTTTTTATGATGTAGAGGCAAGAGTTTGGAGTACAAAACAACTTTTCATTTTTCCTGAACGCCCTTATGAATAGCAAGAAGGGCTAGAAAAGTGGTCCTTGGTTCGAATCCTCGCACTGACAATTTTTTGCATTCTGCATTGGCTTTTCAAATTTTGCAAAATACAGCGTCAGCGTAAAGAACTTATGTCATTTTTATAAATATGACTAACAGCAACCATCACACGTAAACTGACTAAAAAGTGATTGAGAAAGTTGCGACACCAAAACGACGCAGTTGTAGTGCCGTGTGTGCTGCGCAGTTGTAGTGCTCGTGGCGTCAGATGACGCTTACGCTGGAAAACCAACCAGATACTTGTAGTCAGGACGCCGGATAACTCCTAAACCCAAAGTGTCGGGGAAGGTTAAGATTTCGACCGAAGTTCGAACAGTTGGGCCATGGGTAGACCATTAGCCCGTCAGGCTAAACGGTAGATGATTTGGAGGCGACTTCGTCATCCTTCCCATTAAATGGGAAATCCTGTCCCGTAATTAGCTATGGCAGACACCCAACTAGTGATGGCCTAGAAGTATGCACAGTAACTAGGTCGCTAGGTTCTTTCCTTATCATAGAGGCAGGTTGAGCTCCCGGCCACGCTGCTGGTTGGGCCTACTGCTACTGATAGTAGCGTAGTGTGAAACTTGGAGTTGAGTAGTGGGAAAACTTGCTCTGTAAGGTAGAAGCTCGGAAAACGTGATGGTCTCTGGAACGGTCCCCCCCCTCTTGTCCACGGCTAGCCCTTCTCAAAGTTGTTCAGGAACACAGGAAGGGCTGTACCTATGTATGGGCAGGTCGAAATTTTCAAAAATAGGTCAAGTTCTTGTTTTTCCCTGAAAATTGGGGTAAAAGATTGAATCATTGGCCTGACCACGAATATCGGATATTCGCCTCTGGCACCAACACCATTTGGAGCCATTTTGGCACCGTAACGTTTTCCCTCCACTGGCGAAAAGCTCATTCTATGATGTTATTTGTGCCCTGCATATCACGCTCATTATGGAGATAGTGCTACTTGAAAGTCACCATGAAGCGCCAATGAAAAATGCAAAAGAGTGAAGCCTCAGGGAGTAGAACCAAACACTCCACTCCCATCGTCCAACCCCAGGTCCGCCGCTCTCTCCACTTGAACATCCGATCGCTTCTAGCTGTAGCCTTGCGGCGGCCGCCCATGAGACCATAGCCATAACCATGACCATAGCCCCTCAGCAATTGTTATGATCAGATCCAATTTTGACCATGCTTGATGTTGGTTTGCGTGCTTAGGTGAAGTACAACCATCAACCGGCTGCAGCTCACCGCTACAGACGATATCGAAGAGACTAATGCAGTTAGAACTGCAGTCTGCAAAGAAAATCTCGCGTCTTTTCGGTATTTATAAGTCCGTTCAGGAGAAATGAAACTTTGTTTTGTACTCCATACGCGTGCCCCTATATCATGCAAAAAACCGTTTTGAAAAAGCGCTCCACTTCCTGACCGACCTCTTGATAGGACTCAGCCTCAGGGGGAGGAGAACTTCACTGAGAAGGAAAACTGGTTACTCCAATTCCGAAGTGCTTTTTCGTCCCCTGAGACTTTGTCCTAGAACTAAAAACTAAAATAACCTAACTCATAGTTGGGGTGCGCCGCCATGTGCCTGTCCATTCCCCTTTCCCCTTCCCTCCCCAATGGCACTGTTCACTGAATTCGATTTCATCTCATGTATAGATGTCATATAGGGTTCTTATCTCGAACAGCACACGTAACATGAGCATTTTAGCCATATTTCTTGAGTAATCTCTAAAATGTGGCCCTAAGGGTGTTTTTGACGCCGGCGCCAATTGCCGCCAAGCAGCGCCAGATGGCACCGGCGCTAAAACGGATGTCATATTCGTAGCCAGGACCCCAAATAACCCCAAATGACGAAGTTTCAGCAGATTTGGTGAAAACAGCCGTGGCGCCAAATTGGCGCCAAATGACACCAGCATCAAAAATGAATGTCATATTCGTAATCAGGGCATCGAATTACCCCAATAGGCAGAGTTCTGCTGAAATGTAAAATTTTGAGACTTTAGGGCAGTATTAGTGGAATAGTGCCACTTCCTCTCTGGGCATCTCTACTCTACCTGCGGTAGTAGCAGTACGATGAGCCAACCCAAAATCTGAAAACGCTTTGAAATCAAGCTAGTGTTTTCAGCCGGTGTAGCTGAGTAGAAGCCCGCCCCATACATTTGTTTGAAATAGCGCGCGCGGGAAGTTTTTTCAAAGAGCTATCTCGGCGATCAACTCCGATCGTCGAAAACAAAGAAGAAATCAACGAGCATCCCGGGCAATCACGTGCCGGTCATTTTCAAAAATGGCGCGTTGCCTCTAATGCGTGCAGTGCAGGCCACAGGCAATGCACACACGTTACGGCTATCAGCAAATGCATACCATGGGCAAAACTGCGCCGCGGCCGCGCCGCGCTCGCGGCGGAATCTTCCCCCGCCCCCTTTGCTCTGTAGCACTCGTCGAGAAAAAGCCTATCGAAGTTCCAGAAATAAAAGGTGATCAGGAGAACGCTCGGTTTCTTGAAACTGGGAACCATGGCCCCAATTGCGTGTTCCCCGAAGAGTATACACTGATAACGTATAGCTCTACTCTCGGTACGTTTTCAAGAAGAATATAATGAATTTTGTGGACAAACCGTGAAAGACATATTGCACTAGGAAAACCGAATTTCAGAGGAGGTATTCAATGTATTCACAATATGACAGCAAAGCAAAACAGAGAACCAATGTCAGACCTACTTCAGTCATGTGTTCGATCTTCCTCATTTGACCAGGCCAAAAATCTCGCACCACCTTGGCGACATCGTAAAGAGGTCCCGCTCGTTGTTGCTGACGTTGCTGCATCGATGGAGGAACGAAGCCTGGAGCCGACACTGTGGCCTGCTCTGGTACAGCCATCTGCTCCGTGTTGCTCATCTGGAAAAAGCGGTCAATGAAGCGATGGGAACCACAACCTTCGCTACCGTAATCGCAGCGGGGAAAACACAAAATTCAGATCAAGGGTCATAGACTATTCTTTCGGGAGTGGAGAATTCTTAGAAAAAAAGCTCCTTGTAAAAAAGGGACTGTGCTGACAAAGGACTCATGTCTATTCACAAAGCTCTCCCGAAGAAGAGTGTGCAGAGGAAAAGTAGCAGAACAGTTGTGCAATATATGAGGGACCTCTTTTTGGAACCTTTCAATGTAATCCACCACAGTGAACCCATCGTAATAAACTCAGTACAGAGGGATTAGCAAAGGACTTCGAGATTGCCCAGAGTTTTTTTTTAACAAATTGATAATGGCCGTAATGGAGACATGATTACAGATGCAAAATTGGAAAAAAGGTTGATTTCCGGATCCTAGATTTATAGGGAGGAAGTAGCAAATGGCCCCTTAGATGCCGGTCAGACTCCGCGATTGGATCGCGATGGACCAGTGCCGGAGCGACGCGATCGCTCCATTGCTTGTCCATTGCGATG